GTTTTGTTTTGTTTTGTTTTTTTTGGTTCTTACTGCATTACAATTCCACCCCCAAATGTGCAGCAGGCCTTTTCTGGACCATATCCAATATTCATGTTTTTCACAATTCGCAGTTACTCTGAAAATGTAAATCCCGTGAAAATAAAGGGAAAAATTGAATATAAGTTTTGTTATCACAATTCTTTGTACATATCTTGGTATTGAATTTAGATTTGTAACCCACTCCTAARATAGGCAGCAGTTATGGTGATATTTGTCGATTTCTACAATGATCTAGCATCCCTTCTCTAGTGACAACAAAAAAACATGAATGTCTGTTTATTAGAACAAACATTTAGAAAACTGCTAGCACGGCAGCAGCTTGTGGCCTTTTTAATGTGTATTCTGTATTTCTGGTATTTTTTATAGCTTTGATAAAGCAGTAAAAATAATGACTGTTCATACAGCACAAAAATACAAACGTGTGTTACCATTTCCACAATAATTTTAATTTCAATTCGTTCACCCATAACAATGCATGTCTTTTGGCATAAGCTTCCCACCACCTAACTTGAGAGCGAGTGTTGAGGATTTATGTATGTGTTTAAAATACATCTGTAACCCATGCATCTCATTCACCTGACACCCACATGGCCAGCCTTATGTGAACATCTGTGAGCTGCGTCTTCAGGCCTTTCTTCATGGAAAGTGCCTGGCAGTTAATTTGCTGCAGGCAAAGGGGGCCATTCGCACTAACCAATAAGATGTTGCGTCTCCATCTGCACTCATACGTTGCAGATTGTGTGGACTGTGTGTTACAATTAGACAAGGGATGCGTATGGCTTTATCGCCCACACAAGTGTGCATGTGTTCCTCAAAATAATGTTTTTAATTTACATTTTAGTTTGCACGTGAACTGATTTAATTTGATAGTGTGTTTTGTGTAAAGGCATTAAGCTAAAACTGCTGTGTTGAATCACGGTACAGATCTGGCACATTTTAGTGTTTTCATGTCGTGTTTCACAGTAAACATTAACACGTAAAAGTCATAGCACTTTAAACAATTTGCACCTCTAAATTAAAAGAAAAGTTCCTGAATAAAAGGTCAAATGAACTCAAGTGAAAATTGGATCTTAGAGATAAAAATTAAAACACCTTGAATCTTTATCATGCAATCTTGATACATAAAACCAATTAAATATTTTAATAATATTTCAGTGACTATGTTTTACTTGCAAAGATGGATTTAAAATACGTACATACATGAGCTAACAGCCTTAGCACAGACTTTCCTCTGAAGCTGAGTTTGTCAGAGGAGCTTCCAGGAATCAGGACCAATTATTTAGAGCCCTCAGTCGTCCCTGGAGCTAAGGTCATTATTTGAGTGTCACTATTGTGACCCTGAGGATTTTCTTCATGAGCAACTTTGGGGATTACTGCCTATAATGCGCATAACTGAATGTGTCTAACAGTGGATGCTTTAAGTTTGGAATAAGTTTTATATCCTTAAATGTCATTTTCATTCTACATTTTGCCAAGAAAAAGTGTTTAATAAAGGAGCCAGAAATCAGTGTTAAGCAGATTCTGATGGTGCTATACCGGAGCGGCAGGGGGAGAGTGGTGATCATTAAAAATACTGCTTATCTAAGGGAAAATTTCCCGCTTTAAATGTTCTCGCTTTGTCTCATTCTGTGCTTCATGTAGCAATCTTCTCTTCCTGTCTCGCTTTTTTTTTCTTCTTTTTTTTAAGATTTAGATTCGCTGCTYGTCACCTTCTATTGATCACGGCTAATTTGCATCCACAAAAAGATGAGAACTCAGATATTCACACTCCGAGAGAGGACGATCGCAATGATTTATTCATTTCCAAATCAAAAAAAAAAAAGAGAGAAAAAGGAGTGAAAGGAAGGTAGATGAGAAGGGGAATCTTCACAGGCAGCAGGCGACTGGCAGGCTCTGGGGCTGGGCTCTTCTTCCCTATGCCGCCCGTGGGCACATGGTGTGCAAGTCCTCCTAATTAACAAGGTGAATCATGCTGCCGCTCTCTAATTAGCCAACATGACAATCTAATGGAAACATGCAGGCCAAGCTGGCACACTTAGCATCACCTCACCAAGACCCTAGCTACTGTCCTTCCCATAAGAATTTCACTAAAATGACACCTTAAAATTATAATGCAAGAACGAACTGGTGGGGGCACAGTGCTTCAGAGAAGTGTGTTTCAGGGAGAGGTCAGAAGTTGGAAATTGGTTGACATGAATTAGATATTTCTTTTCCGTCTTCTATCTGCTACATGTGGTGTTTGTTGCCTAACTGAAGCATGTCCTGCCTCCTGCCTCCCTCCTACTCATATCCCAGGCACGGGAGGCTGGCACCTCGCCACCAGCGTAGCTCAGCATGCCCAATTCCCATGTCGCTCGAGTCCCAAGGAGTGCTCCAGCGCACAAAGAGAAAAGCGAACCTTACAGGCTTGTACAGCAAGTAGATGAGTCGCTATCTCCCTCTGAGGCAAAAAAAAAAAAATCTTTTTGTTGTTTTTCTTCTCATTACAGCACTTTGTAATATTCGAAAACACACAGGAACACCAAAGGTACTTTTAAACCTACTTCTATTTTTTTCTTGTAATTTGTCTTGAGGTTAAAGAAAAAAACTGAAGTTAAGACTTCAGACAACAAAGCAACAAATAAGAATAGAGCTACAGTGCACTACGCTGTAGCCTGAATATCTCGAGGACCTAAAAACAAGCCTTTATGTGATAATTATATATAGTTATCCAT